TAACGTTTTGAAAATGAAGTTAGTATCGACCAAATTGCTAGTTGGTTTCGTTTTTACTCCGAAAATGTATCGATGAGCGTTCGATCTTTATTCCAGCGACACCCTGTATCCGATGGACAAATGCGTGACGGCGAATAAACGGTATAACGCGGATAAAAAAAGAAACTCGCGTGAAATCATCGTAGGCGAGGCTCAGAAGCGAAATAAACGCGCACGATTGATCTCGAGCTCCCACATACGTTCGATAATTGGCTCGCATAATTGATCCTCAACGGGGCAGTCTGGTGACTTCAAATTAAAACATCGATATCGTTTTCTTGCATTTTTTTATAATACATGCATAATTTTGAGGGTGTATCCTGGAAATAAAAATAAATCAAAGTATCAAGACGTCGAGTGTGATCAATTTTTAAAACGTTTTGAAAAATCTGCGATATCTTTTAGGGGTGAGACGTTCCCTCCGGGGGGCCGCGTGAACGCGGGAAATTTAAATGCAAATCAAAACGCGTCGCCGTGGTCCCTGGCGATACGCGCGAACGGGACAGAGAAAACCAGGAACGAGGAAAGAAAAAGGAGACGAGCGTCTTTACATCGACGCTCATTCGTGAAAGGTTGTAGACCTTGCCCCGTGTATTATTAACGCGATGTACATCGATTTTGTCTGCCGTGGCTCCGTAAACTCATTTCCATTCCCGCGAGCCGCGGAAACCGCGAGCTCGTCGAAACAAATCTATCCGCCGCGCGGATTTTCCTCGACACCTGTGCCCTGACCTACAGTTTGCACCAAAAGTCACCAAACGCTCGCATTTTCATCAACGATTCCACTATACGCGTGCAACTCGACCGTTTTTTATCGAAGCATTTACAAAATGCGTGCTCAAAAAGACTCGAACATCGATTTTTTAATTTTGTTCATATTTCAGTCTCGCAGAGTATATTCTATTTTATTTAAATTTCGAGAATGAATTTACAATTCTTTGTAAATGGAAATTGTACCGTTGTCGTGACATTTTTTCATCGAGAAAAGCAAATATAAAACGACCCAGAACGAGTTTTGAAGGATCAATGTTTACAATCTACAGGCTTCTTCGGTGCAGTCAGGATTAATTTTATGAAAAGTAAAGGGAATAGAAATTTAAGAGCCACGAAAAGATTAAGTCAACTCCGAACCACTTGGTCGAGTTCTTGTTTAATAGTCAATTTAGTCAACCCGTTCTTATTTCGCTTCTTACGTGTTTAAACTTTGTGTTATTCCTTCCATTTTACACTATTATTTCAGTCGCCAAACATGGCTTCGGTCGATTATCTAGCGACTATGTTTCCCAAGTTAAATTTGGCGCAGCCGTTAAGTGGTTAATCCTTTCGTCCACACTCCCAGCCATATTGCTACATATTTAGGATTATGAAGTAAAATATCACTGGCAACTATGTTTTCGTGTCTGTGAATATATTACTTTCAGTTTTAAATCTAAGTTATGTCACAAACCTATCGAGTAAACAATCTAGCTATAAAATCTCGAAGCGGTATATTTGTGTTGTTTACTAAAACTCAAACAGAAAATTTCAATAAAATAGACGGTATTAGTTGTGAATTAAAGTTCGATAGTTGCACCGATAAGAATTTCAATTTGCTCCTCAGCATTGTGCAAGGTACAGCAATACGCGTTTCTTTTCTATTTAGACATGCTTCCGCAAAGAAATGGATTGACGCGGTTCGCTGAATGCCAATTGTGTTTCCGTGTTAGCAAAATACAAAACCGTTTCCACAAGAATGCAGATATCTTTTCATACAATTTTTCTCCCAAGCTTATCTTCTTTCTGCACAGTGAATGGATTTTTGTTGAGTCGTAACCAATGGATGGATTTCAACCAGAATCTAACCCAATAGTTGACTCGTGGCATTTCTTTCCCAGATTAATGTAAAATATACAGAATTAAAAATAAACATCAGTCTTAAAGGCAATACACACAACTTTTAGCTCTTCCAAAATCATTTTTGCCTATTTTATTCTTGAAACTAATAAAAAATTTCCATTTATTCAATTTTTTGAATTGAAGTGTACTTTAACAGAAACAGGGTACGTTTAAATAATATCTCGTATCTGAAAATGTTTCTGGAACGTCCGGAATCGATGTAAATATATGTACATACATCGTTGCGCATTGCAGTGTTGATGTATCGCAACAAAAATCGTCGAAGTTAGCTCCTTCGCGCAAAATAATCAATGATTAAAGAAATTCGACTGTTCAGGGGGGCGGTGTTTCTTTGTTTAACGTTCGTTAGTTTCAAACTAATCTTTGTAATGCGGACGTTTGGTGCCAGAATTTGTAATCTCGCCAAGAGCTTCCGCGACAAATCCTTCGCAACGTGAAAAGCTCGAATGTCGAGGAATGGTTTCGAAGCCAGGTCCACGATTTATCATCAATTTGCTTTTCCATAGTAATCGTTGCATATAATATGAACGGTTGACGATCCAAATGCAAGCACGGTATCGAACACGCGTTATTACATATTAAAATAATAATTATTTTGACTTGTTTTCCACTCAGCGAACTAAAGTCCCAACGCGTGAAACAACTTTAAGATAGCAAGTAGGTTAAACTCACAAGGGAAGTACTCGAACCCGGAAATTCTGATTTAAATGAAACTTCGTGCAAATAGCGTGGAAGAAAGACGACGACAATCGCGACTGTATAAAGTATATCGATACAATCGCGAAGTATCAAACGAGAGTCAAAGAAAGAATGAAACGTTGACAAATTTTAACACTCGAACGTAGACAATCTGAAAATATCGAGGAATAAACGAAAAATAGAAAATTGGTACTATCCTTTTGTGAAAACGTATTAAAAATATTTTTAACAAACGCAAACGACCATTCTGTTACGCAATATTTTTTTAAGAGGATTAAAAATAGTCCTGGACAAAGAGCAATTTTCAGCAAAATTGTTTGACAATATCTGACTATTTCAAAAATTCCGTTGTTCAGTTCAATCCAGCAAACGTACAACGTCGTTATCAATAAGTTTGTAATCGTTTTAAAGAAAGCTAGAGGTTTATGGATCATTTTTTAAAAAGAAACAATTTTGTCTGTCCAAGTAGTAGTTATATTGAAAAATCGACTAATCGTCAGAGTGGTTAAGGGCCCCCCGAATATTTCATTAGTCTTATGGTAGATTTGTCTTTGGGAGTTAGGAAAAATGATGGAGGGTTAATCTAATAGAGCATTCGAAGAAAACATAGGTTTACGGAGTTAGGGGTATCAGAGGGAAAGGGGTTGGAATAGCACGTTAATGTATGGGACGAGGAGGCTCGTAACTTGGATCAATGGTAGATTGCAATGGATAGCTGTAGTTGGGAATGGGTGTCAATTACGTGATAAGAAAGGTTAGTGCGGATCAAATGTTATAACGTGGCGAACGAGTGAAACCTAGTTGGTACGGAATACAACTAACTGGACGATTTGTTAAACAGAAGCGAGGTACGATAAAATGTTTTGCTCGATAGGAGAAACGAAGAAAGTAGTTTTGGATACACTGGAACATGGAAGGGAAGGCAGGAGAATAGACAAGGTTCATAAAGTACGTCGTAATAGTCAATTAGGGAGATCACGAGGCACTGAGAGAGAAGGAGTTTCTGGGAGGAGGAAAGAAGATGACATAATGGTTAGAGACGAAATGCGAAGTCGTGAGTAAGCAATATGGCAGAGGTCACAGACGACAGAGATGGACGAAATTCTCATTTAGATACAAAATTTCAAATAACAAATAAAGCATAATTATAAATCTTTTTCGTTATAGAGGATTTAAGCCTTCCCTTAGCTTATAAAGATGATCTCTTAGGGTGATATTCAACTTTGTGTATAATATTAAGGGCCTACTTATACACAAACCGTTTTGGTGTAATTTTAACTCAAAGTTCATCCTGCTAGGCACTGAAGAAATTTAGTGAAACTTTTGATATGTGAGCCAAAGTCACATCCCGTTAGGATTAGAGTTAATGTAACCTGATGGATGGGTAATGGTCGAGTTTATGGGGCGAGAAACTGAAGTCTATGTATCTTGAAGATAAGACGAGCTAGCGACACGAAAAGGATTTGGTAGGATTTAATCTGAAACCATATGAGATATTACGCTTTATCGATGGGATAATGATGAAGCAACCGGATATACATCGCCATTGTGGAGCCCCGGCTTATCTCCGGCGGCGAAAAGAATGTGCATCGATGACAATTTCGTGTTTATGGAAGATTTAAAGATTTCGTAACTCTTGGGGTGACGATAACCTTGCATCCTTGATCTTCGGATGATTATACGTGCATCGTTCGAATAATTGCTACACTGGAGCTGCTCGGATCAAATTCACCCGAATCGGACAGAATATTACCATATTTAAATAAATCTAATCTCCATTCGTAATAAGTGATTTATTTCAAACATAGAGCAAGTAATTACACAAAATTTATATACTATGCTTATACAAAGAAAAAATGATTTTGGTTTATTTTTATGATTTAAAACTAAATTATAATATATACAAATTAAAATTTATTTTTATGTTTTTCGTAAACAATGATATGCTTCTTAAATGTATGATTTTTACATGTATTGCATTATATAACAACAACAACAAACAACAACGTACATACGATTCCTAACAATTGATTCAACGTGTCTGTGGCACCTTTAGTAAAATTATATTTCTATTTGGGATTTCAAGTTCCTCATAACTGTGATTTGTGCTTGATGGTACAACATTTATCTCTGCCCTCTACTACAAATTTCCATTCATATTGGATTGTAAAACGCTCCCCTCTTTAGAGACCACCGACGCGGGGAGATAAAAGATGAGTCACTAGTCCATTGATTTGCCATAGCGATTCAATAAAAAGCAAAGGGAGCATGGTAGTTTTTTTCGAGGAAAACGAGTCTTCTGGGTGTCCTAACTACCGTCTCTTATACCCTGGTTAAAAAAGGAAAAAACCAATAGTCGAACTCACCCAGGGGTTCCATAGCGTCGCGCGTGGATGGCTTTAGACCCCGGTTCCGATTTCCGTGTGCATGGTTCCGGCGGAACTCCGAACGAGGAACGATTTTTCTATTTTCCTGTCGTCGGACGGCGGTATCCGTCCTCCTCGCACGAATTCACGGCCCCGAAAGAAAGCACTTGGGGCCTCGCGAGCGTTTTCTTCCTCCGTGCTCGATCGTACCGCGCGCAAAACGAGAGACGCTTTCGGTTCGAGCGGATTCTCGAAATCGCGCGCGTAGAACGAGCGGCGACGGGCGAGGGTCGTCGCCGTTTGGCTGGGAAGAGCGACCACCCCGCTGTATATCTTCCCTTTGATGCCACGTGCTGAATTCAACGGTTGCCGGGAAAAGAAAGACGCAGAGGGACGAATGGCGCGACAAAGAGGGAACGACTCGCGTGAACCACGTCGGCGCGAGGCGTCGCGACGCCTACGACGACGCGCGCAACGCGCGTTCGAGAGGGTAGAGGGAAAAACCACCCCTCGATCGTTCGATCGCCAACGACATCGATCGTCGATTAACCCCTTTCGCGACCACAAACAAACTGCAAAGACACTACAGTCCTCATATTCCGTCGACTGATCTTGTCAAAAATTGAAAAAATAACGAAAGAATTCGGTAAATTTTTTATTTCGAGGATCGAGTTGCCTTCTCGAAGGACTAATTTCTCACTTGTTTGAAACAATGCTGCAATTTAGTTTGCAATCTGATAATAACTAAATAACGGAAGTACGACGGTGGTAGCGCGAATAGGGCGGTTTGCTAACATTTCGAAGATCGTGGGTTCGAATCTCCAGCCTCTCCTTTTCCATCGATTCTTGCATGCATTCTTCAGAAATTCCAGCAGTCTTGCACGAATTTAAAGTACACAGTGATGCTGACGGTAGTAAATCAGAATATAAAGCGCTGCATTTATGAAAGGCATGTTTAATATATAAGATGGTGGTTGCCAAAAATTCAATAACTTTATTTAAATTCTATGCTTTGAAAAGTACAGTGTTTTAATAATTATACATCGCAGAAATGACAGAAAATTGAATAAGTCACGCGAATTAATCGAACAAATTAGCGACACTGAATTCGTTCTTACTGATTTGTCAGAAACGGTCTCAATTTCTCACCGAACTATTTCTTGCGATGAAAAATGGATTCTGCACGACAATCGTAAGCGGGGTTGCTCAATGGTTTGTTAAAGAGGATGATCTCTTCAGTCATGCTTCGATGTCATTAATCCATTCACGAAAATTCTTGACGGTGTGGTGGGACATGACTGGTGTTATCCATTATTCATTTTTATCGAGAAACTTACTTTTTCATAGCAGATACATTGTGTCAACGCATTGAACAGATGCATGAAAAATTGTAGACTCAACATCTACTACCGAGGGATGATTCTGGTTTAAACTTAGACATTTCAAGAAGTTTGTCAATAGATACGATTGTGATTGATTAAAAAATGCTTTTTGGGAAACTTACGATTCGAAATAAAGTACAAAGCGAATGTAAAATTCTGAAATGTTACGGCACGTGCGCGTAAAACAAACCCTTCATTAATATTCATAACACGTGTATTTCAATCATTTGAGAATACAATTAAAATACGTTTTTGCTTTTCGAAAACGATTGTTAACATCCACTTGATATTTAACAAATAAATCGTGATTTATAACGCAAGAAATTGAGGGAAAAATTCTGAAACGTTTTTGTTGTTCTCGCTAATAAGTTTTTAATTGTATAATATTGTGTCAATATTTTATCGTGGCCACTATTCGTGCATCCATTTTTATTCTTCTTAAATTTTTATTTGTATTCTGTTACAGTGGTCAAACTGGGAGCGTATTTATAGGGTAGACTGATTTAAAATCCGAGGTACGTAATATTTCAAAGTTCTTGTCAGGAGGAAAGGTTGTTTGGGGACGAAGCCCATAAAAAGTACGATATCCCGTTTATCGTTGCTTTTACAGCATAAACGCATGTAACGGAAGTTATTGTAAATTAAATTTGGGAACTTTCTTGTTCCGTTGAAATTTTCGATGGAATCTACGGTAATCGAGATAACCCAGACCTAATCTTACTTTCTCCGTTACAACAAAAGTAGCTAAAAAAGGAGGTATTAAAAGAATTCCGTTATTATTAATAAATTTCTCGGTTTACGAGTTTACCGTACGCGTGATAGAATATGGAAATTAGTAAAGTTTAGCGAGTTCATTCAACAGATTGAATTCCAACTGCGTCGTTAACAAGACTTGTTACCCTCAACAAGCCAAATAATTTGAACATTAATTTCGAAACGATAGAACTTTTAAATGCTCTGACTTTATTAAACGTAACTCGATCGAACTGTGAACCTTGTCCATGTCCCATTAACTAATTGTTTTCACAACGTTATGGTTTCTCGGTCGGTTAAGTTATGGAAATGAACCCGCGCGGTGCATCGGATATCAGAAAACGCTGTTCGATTTTCTACGTTCTCCGCGTCCTTCGTTCGTTTTTCAATTCCTGCACAGAAATGAACAAGAAACGATACTGCTTCCCACTCGTAAGAAAAATCCACGCAGACATTCTCCGAATTGCTTTTTGGATTTGATTAGATTCCTTACAGTACCATCCATTAATAATCCCCACTGACAGTACTTCCATATCTTTTCACAACTTCCCATTCTTTTTTATTTTCATTTTTGCAATACGTCTCGAGTGTGTATTCTGCAGGCTCTCATAATATCACAGTTCTTATCATCCAGTGAGTTCGTAGAGATCGATGCAAATGATAATTGGAAGACGCAGTATCAAGTACGTGTAGCCTTATCAACGAATAAAGAAATTGTATGAAACGTTTAATCGCGTAACTGTTATTGTGCTGCAGAATGGCCATTGAAACATACGGGATGCAAACAATGAACAACGCTCTTCGTTTCACGATGAACAACAATCGTCTATCGTTAGAGCAACGATTATTTTACGAAAAAAATGGATACTTGCTGTTGCCTCGTCTGATATCACGGGACATAATCGACAAGTGTCATCGAAGGTGCGTAAACAACAGTGAAATACACGATGGAATAAAAATAATTATTGTTACCATTTTTACGATAAGCATTCGGACAACGGAAGATTCTATCGTTGTTCATGAGTTTCCATATTGGCAATTACGTTTTCAGGTTCGACGACATCGTGGCTGGCAATGCTCCACGCGATGGAATAGTCGTGATGCACGACGTGAAGGACAGAAAGTCGGTCAACAAATTGCAGGACATAAGTCGTGACGAAATATTTAGCGAGTACATCAAGCATAAAAATATCTTGGACGTGGTGGAAGCCTTCACCGGGCCGAACATCATGGCTGTGCACAGTATGCTGATAGCGAAACCTCCCGACATCGGATTTGGAACTTCCAAGTAATTTTATTGATAAACAGAAATTTAGTATATTCTTTTAGCGTTTAGGGATTCAGTGACCAACGTAGACCTATCGAGAAATAAAAGAGGTTGCTTAGATTTATAGTTACGGAGGAAGATCGATGGAACAATAGATTTTTGTTGATCCGCATCGAACGAATTGCTTTCCAGACATCCGCCTCATCAGGACCTGTATTACTTCCCGTTCCGGCCAGCAGACCTGATAGTAGCAGCATGGACAGCTATGGAGCCGTGTACTCGGGAAAATGGATGTCTTTTCGTGTCTCCTGGCACACATGCACGCGATCGTTTGCACACCCACGACTACCCCCCGGGAACGGAGCCAGGCTCTGTCAACAAATTCTACCACGGGATCCTGGTACGAATTCGAACGTAGCCTATCGCCTCTAATCACGTTACCCAATATTTCTTTTCTATCGATTGCCGAAGGATCTGCCCGAGTCGATGGATTGGGTGCACCTAGAAATGGAACCGGGCGACACTGTATTTTTTCACCCTCTGTTAATCCACGGATCCGGCGTGAACACGTCGAAAAACACGAGGCGATCTATTTCTTGCCATTACGCGGCGGCGGAGTGTCATTACGTCGACGTGAGTCATGGATCGAAACAGTATTTCTCAAACTCGAAAAAAATTTAGTTAAAAGATAACAATGTGATCTGATCTAATGGGTCCCGAATTCTTATCTATCGAAGCTGAAGTTTGAGAAACACTGTATTAACAAACCATATTGTCACTTCATCTTTTAAAGCAAATGTTGCAACGATCAGGTGTCCAAGACGATTCAGAGCCGAATCGAAGACGAGATTATGGAGCACGTACGCAAACGATTCCCCGGCGTCGAGGCCAAGTTTCAAGACGTGTGGCGTTTCAGATCGATCCTTGCGCGCGGGATTCGATCGTCTCTATGAAAGACACTGTACGGTAAATTTCGTTTATATTTCAAGGTGGTTGTACGTGAGAATAATAGTTTAGCGACATTACGGCATGGTAGTTGCACGATGACGGTTGCGAGTCGTTGTTTGGATGTATATTTACGCAGAAAGGAGAGAGAAGGGTAAGTAACGGCATGACAGAAAAAGATGTAACGACAACGGGGTTGTCGCCATTATTATTGAACGTATTAACGTCACGGCGATGCCTCTGATGAGAATACGGCGGTTGGAGAGTATAACAATGTTTTGAATGTGGGTCTTTGTAAGTGTTCTCATGGCGGACACTCGCGCTGGAGGTACGACACGCAGCCAGGCAAACTTGAAAGCGGTCTAGATTTCGGAGACGTTTCTTCACCACATCCTGATCTTTATGCACCTTATTGTTGTCTCTAAGTAAACCTATCAGCACGTCCTTCCTTCCCTTCATTTGCTGTCGATAACAACGTCTTATTAATGCCTCGGTCGTTCCGTAAGAGAACATATGAGAAATTAAAAATCACCTTGCCAGGATGTAGGCAGCAGGAAACGCAATACTCGTAGATCGCACAGCACCCTTGGACATTACATGTCTTACAACTATACCTCTCTCTCTTGTAAATTGACGGCGGCTCTTCATTTTTCGTAGGATCCTTTTGTTCTATATTACAACAGCCATTTGGCAAAATATCTTGTCTAGCGCATACAATACCCCGCTCGTCTACTATTAGAGCTTTTCCCTTTCGGAATAAGAAGATTATTAATACTTTTGTTTGGCAGAAACTTCTAATGCTCGAGTAGAGTCAATATCAAAATGTACCTGCACAGAATTGCGACAAGGACGAACCACTGTGTCTGTATCGTTTAAATTGGGTATTGCTTCCATGTTTAATGCATTATCGTTTGTCCCTTGATCGACCTGCCACAAAGGTGGTTTGCCAGATGCTCTTAATTGTTCAGATAATGCATCATCATCTGATATTAAGTCATCATTATTATCGTTAATCATCATGGCATCCATATCATCAAGATCTGTATCTAAAGCTAATGTTTTTTTCTATGGAGGAAAGAATACTATAGTCCAAGTAACCAATATTGCATTCTAAGTCGACGTCGTATTATTATTAGCGTCAAAAGGCATTATTTCTATCAATAATTTACCTCATTGCGAAACAGCGAAAAGGCGCAGTAGGTTAGCGACAAAGCGAAGATCAACCCAAGTACAAGGCGCCGTCTAATGATTCTGAACAGGCCGCCACAACTAGGCATCCTTTCCACTTTTTGCGATCCACTTTCGTGATCTCAATCGACATTAGATTCCTGGTTTTGTATCCGGATGCATGATCGTGACGCGACTGACAGTACAAAATTCTTTGTTAAACAAAGTTCTTTGCTAAGCTAGTTGCTCGATAAAATTCTTTAGACGCCCGTTCATCGTGCGAAAAACGTTGCATTGCAAGTCGAGCCGAAAATTATCTTCGATATAGTAAAAAGTGCAGAATTGCGGACGAAAAAATAAATAAGAGAGAGAGGTTATGTTGATCTTTTACAATCGTGTTGCAAACATTTATGAACGCGCTTACCGATCGTTGTGCGCAAACAACTAAGTTGCACCGACATGAACTTCTTATCTGTTAATATACATTTAACGAAACAGACAGATCGAGGTTTTCTTGATTTCAAATTTTATCAAAGTTCTTGTCACTTAACGTGCGAGCAATAGTGCAAGTGCATTGACCTATCCGACATACTCGGAATGCAGACAAGTTTGCGGGAAAGTATAGTAGATGACGCCACATGCCAGTTTAAGAATTTGTATCGACATATGCTACACGATTAACATATTTTAGAAATATCCGTCAAATTTATAATTATTGTGTATATTAATTTTTAGAATCGTATAACGCGTGGTTTTGGTTCAGATATTTGCAGCAAATCGCTGCCTTACACCTTAAATAAATTTATGTTTATAATGCAGAAAACAATCAAACTCATTCGTTATAAACAAATGTACGATTTCCCAGTGTGACATAAAAAAGACGACACGTCTTGAAAGTGAAAAAACAAACTCTAGAAAGAGCACAGAACAAGAAGCGAATAGAAAGTGATAAGTACATACTTATGCGATGACTTTTGGTGTGGTACAATGGATATTATCTTTAGCAACTTTTTTTATTGTCGTCGTTATCATAGTTTTATCGGCAATTCATCTCGGCAGGAGGGATCAGCATATCGCAAATACAACGAAGTCAGGTACATTCAAAGCAACTCGCCATTCTCGAAATTAAATATAAATATTATTATAAAGGGTAGGAATTAAAACAATCAGCTTTAGAAAATATCTCGCATCGTAGCATTATGTAAGTTCCATTAATTCTCACAACTCGATGAGAGAATATATGAAACTTGGAACATTACAAGATATGAGGTTAGGTGGAATTGGGAATATTTTAGCAAGGTACTAGACTACATGGAACTGAGAATATTTTCAAAGTTGCAGGTGCCTTACACCTTATTAAAACTTTCCAAGTCTCATCTACATACATATTCTCAGATCCTACTCTATAATACCTTATATCTTAAAGGAACAACGATCATACAACTCTCGGTAGTTAAACAATTCTTTCTTGATTGCGTAGTTTAGGATTACATCGAGGAAAGAATGGAAATAAAGTAGTGAAATACATCAGAGTTACATATATATGTAATAGGGGAGAGCGGGAGAGGAAAAACGGAAAATAAAGATACTGAGTGGCTCGGAAGTGTCAGGACAAATAATAGGCGTGGTTTTACTATGGTTCTGCACTGTTCAGAAGTTCCAATACGACTGCCCCTGATTCAACGCACGCTCGCTTTCGCGGGTTCGCTCATCGGCGTCTCAAAAGACGCCGAAACCTACAATGTTTTCGAAACATTCGCTTTTATCAGCCGCGGTCTGCGGCGATCATCTTACACTCGAAGAGCCGCGCTCTACGATGATCGCCGACAGACACGGTCCCTATTCACAATGTCTGTATAAATCGTCGGCTCTTACATATATTTTACATTTTATTAAAATACTTAAAATTTGGTATTAAATGTGTCACATCCCCGAAGAGGTTAAAGGCCAAGACCAAACGAACGCGTACAAAACATTTTCATTTTCTATGTGTTTAAATAATTATTTTTATCGTACGATTTGATACATCAGGTGTCAATCAAGAGTACACGAGCAAGTCTATGACCAAAGTGCCTACACGACCCACACCTAGGTTAACCTCTCCTAAGTTCACCACAGCTGCGTCAGATGCTATAGCTGCAGCGCCACAAGAATAACTTTGAATCGAATATTAATAATAATCAACTGTATCAAGTACAAAGTAATATAAAGTGGTTAAACATACATGTGGTACGAGTTTTCGATAAATTTCGAACGACACTGGATCTTAGGTTTTAATGTACTTTATTATAATATACGATACATTCAATATCGAAGTTAGGCTTAGACTAATTTGGGCACCGAGATGCCCACTTATATACTAAGGTTTTCGTGGAAAGTTTGGTGGGTTAGGTTAGGTCGTGGAAGGATTCGAGGAATTTAGAATTTTTCGGGGGAATGTAATAATACCTCACTTTGTTGGTGAAAAGAACTTCCTCAAAATGGAAATTCCTTTCTATGCCATGTCTGCTATCCGTGAGAGAGGATGTAGAAGCAGGGAAGCATTTACTTCAATATCATACGTTTATTTACGAAAAATATTCAAATCCACGGCGCGTATTCGTTTAAGATGTTCTTGGTCATCTCGATGCCCATAAAGAATGCCGCATTCGCCGGGAATGCGCGAAGCAGAACAGGTACGATCCCGTGGTAAAGTGCAAGCAGGCCGTCTTTTTCCACCACTTCGAAAAACGCTGATCTGAATCCGTGTGGATACCTTCCCAAAGCTGACGTCTGCAATTTCGACTTCACAGTATCAATGGGTAACGCTACCATCCAGTTCAGTGTTCCTGCACAGCCCCCTGCTATCAGTGACTGCCATGGTGTTACCTATAATACGTGTAAACTTTACATTTACTATATTTTTGCATCGTTTGACAATTATAACCTCATCAGATATGCATGTGCATAGTTTTATGTATCCGAAGAAAGAAATGTATTATACCAGTAAAAGGGTTGACGATCGATCTTACTTTCTCAGATTGTTTGGTGAGATTTCGCAAGATTAGATCGTACGAGAAAAAGAAGAATCCTGTGGAAGGTAGATCGCGAAGCAAGGTGGCACAGGTGCCGAGGTACAGATTTCGAATCCCGCCCTCTTTCCATAGTTTGATAGCGCAATCCATAAGACCGTTGTATTTTTTAGGTCCCTTCGCCTTGAGCAATTCCGGGCGAATTATTTTTTATGACACAGGATTACTTGGGGAAAGGTTACAATGAGTTTTTAAATTTTATATCGGCGATGCTGATTAATATTTCCATGACATCGTACAAGGGGGATGTTCGATTCTAATCAATTCGAATAGGTTAATTTCATTTTCAATTTCAATATTAGGAAAGTAGGGATTATCTAAGTAAGGGGTAAGACGAAGGTAGAGGTTCAAAAATGAGACAATAGTCAAAGTTTTGGTGTGAGTCAGGGATAAATGATGAGGTCACTAAAGGAAAGAAATTGTAGTGGGGCATACTCGACGTGCAACAAATGGCGAGTAAATTCGATTTTTAGAATCGAACGTCCCTGTTGTAAAGTCGTCGAAAGCATAATTTATTTCCAGTGCCTGTTACAGCGAGCGTGACTTGTATTTTTATTTTCACCTCTAGGTAAATGCGATAAACGACATTCTTACCTGTACCTGCAACAAACACTTGATACGTTCCGCAGGAGCTGAAATAAGCGAGGTGCACCCACCGCTGAACATTCCCGCTAGAAACAATTGCTTGCCGGTTAAAGTTTCTTGATCCGGTTCGGAAACAAGTTCCTTACCTAATCCAAAACTAAGGAAACCAATGGCAAATATTGGCACGACCGTTACAAGAGGCGCTGTTATACCCTGGAAGAACAATAATTGTAAATTAAAACAAAGCCTTCGACCGCTCGAAGCGTGAAACTTGTGCCTGCAACCCCTTTCCCTCTCTTTAATCTGTGTCCGACTCTGCAGCCATCTCTTATATTATTTCCCACACAGATCGGCATTTTTGCACGTTGGAACGCGATCGTAACATGATACGTTGTTGCGTTGAGCGTTTCTGGAGATGCGATAATGCACGGAACGCACGAAGTCTAAACATCCACCGTGTCTACTCCGCCTCGCATCTCTATTCGCTTGCTGCTTACGCGGCAAAAATGTGACCAATTGGGGACCGTTTAGTCGAGGCTCTGTCGCCCCCTTGAACGGGGCGACAGCGCTATCCCCTCCAGATACTAAGGGTTTCGGGACTCTGCAAAGTAGCCAGTCGACGAGAGGACCCGCAAAGCACAGGTAGAGTGAATATGTCCGTAACGAACGTCGAATGTGACTTTAGTAACACGTGCCGCGACGCGAACACAATAACAAGGCAGTTATGCTGTTTCGATGGCAAATTGAATAAACCGAGGCGCAGGATCGCATGGTCGTTGAGACATTCGTTGCCATGGATACAGAGAAAGATCCAGCTGCAAACGTTAGGCATTTGTAGGAGGTGCAGACATTTCTTGTACAAGGTATTTATTTTAATTGAAAGATCTTCGATTATCGATGACAGGACGGCGCAGGAACGGACGAAGAAAATTCAATGTTATTACAGAGTTTGGTGACGTACAATGTTTACTGTAAAGTGATTACGATTCGTTCGAGGCTAGATCGCGGAAAGGATAACATTTGTGCGGTGTATTGTTGCGTTTCATTTAGTAGCGAGAGGTTAGAATCTCGTGTACGTTTTAGTACGACTGAAGAAGTGCGTCGTAAGACAATATCGGGCCAGGTATACGTACGACAGATGTTGGCCACATGTTTGGAAACTTTGCCGGTCAAATGATACGGTCATTTGTTGTTTTATTGCTATAGGCAAAGTTTACGATAGCTCATAAGGGACGGCGTGCTGTCCCAGTTGGTAACACGTTTCTTATACAATACAGTCTGTGTCGACAAATAGATTCAAAATGGTCGTGGTTTGCGTTACTTCCAACATTAAATTGATACAGTAAGTACGTATTGTTATTTGTCGGACAACTTGTGGTCTATACATTCTTACGTTTGTTAAATTATATATCAATTAATAGATAATCAACCTTTGCAACTAAACCAGTCAAAACAAAACTAACAAACTTATAGATTTTTAGATCATTTTACATCATATTTTTTTCATAACATTAGTCCAACGTATGAAATTAAAATAATCTACTTTTAATGGATTTTTTGAACAATTAAAATTGATACCTTGTACAAACTAAAGGGTCCCTCCTGCAGAACAAGTTTCTTAGTCGTATTCCATGTACCTTTGTAAACATGTGGCATTGCTTGCAATCGAACCTTAATTGTATCTAATGGATGACCAGTTACCACGTTAAATAAACCACCAACAGCCCCGGCTGCAATTCAAACATTTACATCCAGTTAATTGTTATAGCTTTGTTTCCATTACAAATTAATTATGATTTAAGTTTTGTTTTGATCACGTTAATTGAGGTTATGATTACCTATCACGTCCTTCGACGGTCTTTCCTCCGACATCTTAAACTGTGGTTACAGTTGTGGTATTTTGTGAAGTTTGAAATGATACCATCTATTAAAATTCGACTCGTGCATCTTCGTTTCGTGTCCTCGAATTCATGTTAATTACGTTCCACGAATTTTGTTTGAATGAACGTCATATTCATCGCGATTTATCAACAACGTGAAGTACATTACGATATTTATGTATTTTTCGATCGGAAACTATGATTCCATTGAAAAATAGACAATAATCTGTGAACTTTTAGTGAAACGTTAGACACCTGATTTATATTTTCATCATACACGCTTCACCCAACCTTATTTTCTGTAATTTATACAGAGATTAAGTTATTGAAGACCCGGAACTAGTAAACAAAGTGGGAATTTTTTTTTACCAAAAGTGTGTTACATATAGGACAGGTTAAGATTGTATAAACAACGAATATTGTTTATATCGGTCAACATTAAATTAGACATTGTGGAAAGAGTATTTATCGATAGTATTCAAACCTGTAATTAAATAAATGTAAGGTCGGGTAATTTTTATCATTAACTGATAACAAGTTTGGACGATACCACTACTTGTAACTTTATGAAATCTTTATAAGTCAAAGATTACAAAGTATAAGTTGATATAGAAACGGATTGGCTAGAGTTTAGAGACCAACTATCCCTTTTTAGGCAATTTTTAGACATTTAAGTTTGTTTAGAATAAGGTGAGGGTGATAAGAGCAAGATAAAATGACCCGGGGACAGTTTAGGGTGGAAATGTTTGTTTTAATCGTAATCTTCGATTATAAATATCCCCGAATGAAAAATATTATCTACCATTGTCTTCACCACGTCCCCAAGTGACGTAATGTTTAGTCTTCTGGTCCGGAACGTGTCCGATTACGTTTCTGGAATTTGTCGGTTGTTCAAGTGTAATTTGAGTTCCACTAAGGGTCACATGCCCACTGTAGAAATTCATTACTTGAAACGCAGAAACAATTCTTCCATTCCTACGTTTCATTTGATTTCAAAGTGGATCTGCGTTTCGTTATAAGCTGTTGGTTATTTTTTGAATTTTTGGCATTCCAAGCCATTAGGTTTCATATTGTATATGTACAAATATGCTTATTAATATACGTTGGGTATGTACAATCTGTCATTATTGTCAAATCTTTGAGATAGCGTAGGAGAAATATTTAAAATGATTTAAAATGATGAAAAGGGATGCGGCGATGTAGGAAAATAATTATAGAACTGATTTCACAAATAAAATGTAACTTCTGCGGTCTGTAAACGTTCCTTTATTGTTTCGAGTAGAGAACTTGTCAACAGTTCGAGAGGTTACACATAACTGACTGTCGGTCACCTGAATTCGGGAACCATTACATATGTTAGGCAAAAACCAAAATGTCCTCTCTGCGCGGTGAGAGAGGGACTTTGTGTACACCGTACAGTAACGATATACTGGGTATACCAAAATACAAATTTGAAAAGACGGTTTAATGCTTAGAATATAATCAAAAAAAGATCGAACTGATTCTGATCTACATCATCACGTTAAATATTTAATTTAATTTCAAAAATTGAAAAAATATTTATTTTGCATACAAATCGTGTTTTCCTTTGGCATTTTATCCCATCTTTAATACAGACGGAGGATATTTAGGTATTCAGCTTCTCTCGAATCATCTTCCATATTATGTAACGAGCTGGGTTTCCCTAAGAATTCAAGGGTGTGCGCTGCAGTGGTCCTCGAAGGGGGGTATGAAACTGTGTAAACGTATACGTAAAAGGACCCTTGAAAAATTCTTTACGCTGGATCCATCTGTTCAGTAAAGTGAATTTTTTACCATCTTCCGAGAAATAGCTCTTGAGAAATATTCAAACCTAAAGTCACCGTTACAGACCGTAAACAGAATATTTCTCATTTCAAATACATTGTAAACATTTATCATGTGTCTGCTATTCGGTATAAGAAATAAGTATAGTCTCTATAGCTTCGTTGCTATGAGTCACGTTTTTCTCATTTCTTCTGATTCGTCATAACGAGTCCTGATTGCCAGCAAAATACTCATTCCATGTATAAGTTGACCAATAGCAACGATACACGTACATATACATATAATTGCTTCCTAACTTCGATTTTAATGAAGCATTATACGCTTGCACTAAATTATATACAATAACAAGTAACAATAACAGTAACAAGTCTCTTAACAGCAATGAAAAGATTAATTGTTTTTATTGCCCACCAATGACATTGTGGCAAAGGTGGAGCGATTTATAAATTATAAATACATACAGTGTGTATGCTAGGAGATGAAGATACACTTATTGTTCTCATAACGTACTTGCTTTAAAATACAAATTGAATAAATATTGTCATTTCTGCGGCTCGCCTATCATGCAGTTTACGCACGTTATCTAAATCTTCAATGTTGTGAAAGCATTCTGTGTAATTTGTATAATAAAAATACGTGTCAAATGAGATTAGTATGTGCATCTGTATCTCTGTTGTTATTAACATTCTTTAAAATCGAGACGGTTTTTGTAATAAACATGATAAAATGGGTATATTGAAATGGAGTTTGTATTATACCTTTTGATAACGTGACATATCGTAAAGTTAATTAAATTGATTGCCAGGGTGTCCCGTAAATAGTGTAAGAGCCGGAAATGTGGGGTAGCTGAGACGATTCTGAACAACAGTTTCCTTCGCAAAAATGTCGGATGGGGCTTCGTTTTTGAATTATTAACGAAAAACACTGATCTATCACGGCGCGCGCTCAGGGCTGTCCGAACTCGGGGATTCACCGCGTCGGGTAGGTAGCAAGATGCGCGTTGAAGATACATCGAGGAACGAATACAAATAATTAAAAATACTACCACTGCAACTGCTACCTAATTCGTTAATTACTACGTAATTAGTACGTAAATTACTAAATCGAATTTATTAATTATTTGTATTCGCCGAAACATTCCTCGAATGCAAAGGGTTAATAGAGAAATAATTAAAATTCGACTTACCCCACGGCCCCAATATTGCGCACAACACGTAGATAAGAAGATTTATAAATACCAATCTCCTAAATAAAAGTTCAGTTCTTGCTCTCATCCAGTCCAGTGTACATGTGTCTCACGAATCCTTGTTCGATTACTGCGATAACGAATATATTCAGTATAGAATTAAAGACAGTTTTACGAAGTCGCGTTGCTCAATTCCAAAGTCAATTCATTCTAACGTGAATTTGTTCTACTGGTTTTTTTGTGGATTCTGATCCTTTAATTTTTCCTCTTGAATAATCCCTCCCGTGACATTATCTCTCGTACTTTTACGCAGTTGGTCGAAAATATAAATATCTTGCGTGGTGTGTTATGTGATTAATGAATTATCTATATTATGAGATTATTGGTGTAAAGTAGATAAAAATCGTCATTCGGGTTAAGAATTCGTGCATCGCCTGTTCTCTTATATACACATTATAAATACATAGTTGAAGGAAGTTTGTCGAATTCAGTCGGTGTTATCAGACCGCAGACCGGTGTCCAAAGGTAACATCCCCTCCACTTATGCACACTGATGTACAGTCACGTAAGTATGTACTTACATATTTCACCAGAAACTGCCCCTCCGCTTACCATTATGCATAGCTATGTCGCGTGAGATTCGGCATTTCGGGCAACTTCGGGGATTCGAGAGAGATGGCGAATGTAAGCCTTTCCTTCTCGCTCTCGAAACAGCTGAAATCCGATTTGCGTCAATCGGCGTATGCAATTTCGAAGCTCGACTACCCAGGCATTTTTATTTTCCTCATAAACGAGGTACAGAATAGACTTGTTGTTCAACGGGGCTTCTTGACCAAAGCTTCATAGGTTTGGAAATTATAGTCAACCGAACTATTCGATTCCCGAAGTTGCCCGAAGCGTCAGAGCACACGTACACATGGCTGTGCATTAGGGTGCGTAAGTGGAGGGGGACAGTTTCTGGTAACACCGGACTCAGAATTCAGTACAAGCCGAGCCTTCGGACGAGTGAGATATCTTTGGAGACGGAAGTGCCAAACAAACTTGCTCGAATAATTATCGGAGGAATCATACATATCACTTTAATGTCTTCGCTTGTACTTCTACCCATATGACGATTTGTTATAAATCGAAGATTTATAATATGATAAAACGTTTGGAATTAATGACGAAGAATAAAAGTGCGTTTACCGGTGAACACGCGTAGCTGCGAATTGTTACTCCAAATGACGGAAAACTAATTATACGACGCAAACATTGATTAGAAATATCTGAATATTGATACAAAACCTACAGTTTGTTTCGTGCGCAGCACGCAAAGAACAAAGGAGTATTTAGAGTAGGGTGGAGAGTAGTAATGGTGGGAGAAGACGTCAGGTCCAACTTAAGGCCCAAATTGGAGACGGTCGTTGCAACGAGTGTAGAAAATCGAGCGGCCATGGGAAGCTCGCGATGACTCCGTCGTCCAAGCCGATCTTCGTATGAATTTGTCGCCGATCGTCGCGTTGTTGATCGAATGTTTTTGAACCGAGTTCACGGTCACGCGTTTGACGACGTCGTGTTTACCCCACCACAGACACAGTCGAGTCGTGGCTGTTCCTACGAAACATAGTTGAGGCCGCACAAGGGAGAGGCGACTCTCTGCTACGATGCCAGAAAGCGCGCAAACCGTCGCGCCAATGAGCCTCGACAACCTCGCGTTGAAACGGTGGCTTCACTGCGTCGGACCTGTTCGTCGTTGCGAAGTTCTGCAAAAGGTGGGGTTCATTCACCATTAAGCTTTCGTTCTCTTCTTTTTTTTTTGTTTTATCCTGCATTTTTGTCACGATGAAACACGTTGCTTGCCGTTGCGAGGGAAGGTGCACGTGTGCCCCGAGCGGAAACAAACGAACGCAGCTTAAACACGATCGCGAACCGAGAAACGTTTGTTTGTTTCTTTCCCCTGTCGAATCTCGTGCGTGTTTCTGATATACGGAACCCGATCAAACATGTCGTTGGAGTCTCACTACAAAGTACGGTGGCGATTGTTTCAGCTAAAAACGGACCTGAAGAATCTTGGACTGTCGCGGAGGCAGGTTCACCGAGGCTTGGTCCAACTCGCAACCAGACCGCACGTAGTTCTTACACCGCAACCAACGACTAGGAAGTATGGGTAAATATAATTCCTACAGTTAGTTAACCCTTTGCCTCGCGATTTAAGTCCCAATGGCGCGGGCCATAGTCGACGTTATGGTCGGTGGCGCGTCGAGCCATTGATAAATTAGTACATAAGACTTCGTCAATTCTTATTGGAGAAGAAAAAAGAAACGTTTAGCTATAGATGGTTAGGAGTTAAAAGATGTTCAACTAGTTATTTCCTCTTTATGTACAAATGTGTACAATGAACACTACCAGTATAAGAGATTACTATTGAGGTAGTAGGAACAAAACTCAAGATGGCTTCAGGTAGAGGGTAGTTGTGCCCTACTGTCCCCAATCGTGCAAATTAGGTTTATTGCCATTGGGTTTCGAGAAGTTGAGTCAACCTAAAGGTGGCCCTAACCGATGCGGCTGACCGTGTAGGGGCTACTTAACGGGACTTTTAATTATGCGTTTGCAGACCCGTACCCTCGAAAAATATATTGTTATACCTTAAGCGGTCATAAATTGAAAACTTGAGTTTCTATTTAAAAGGAATACCGTAATCACTGAAAATGACTCATAACGGTAGAAAGGAATAAACGCAAGTTAAAGAAATTTATAATGCAGACAAAAGTGCCTTCGATCTTAAAATATACATATTGTCATCATAACATACCTATTTCTTATTTAAATATCTTGCATATAATAAATATAAAATTACGTTTTCTGTTTCTGTACATGTATGTATATAATTTATCTGTAAATGAGTAAGAAGATTTTATTATCAATGAACTTTATACAACGGTTATCAGTTATTATAATGTAAAAATACAGAAGCTTGAAACGTCATATCTGTATCTCATAAGAAGTTTATTTTAAACGTAGTGTATCTGATTTATGTGCAATGTCCACGTTGAATAATGTCGATTTAAATTCGCAATTTGATCCATATTAATCGCTTCATTTTTGACCTTCCAAAAAAATTTCGATAAAATATTTACTGATCGCTGTGAAATTAAATTGCTTGCGATAACGGTAATGAAATTTTTGTTTCAGGCCAAAGAAACTATCGTTAGGAAATGAAGCGAAGGTATGCGACGAATTCGCGAACGCTCGTAGATCTCAAATTACATCTTCCGAGCATAATTCGCGACGGGGGGAAAAATATGCACAGCAACCGGACACGACTGTAGTTTGCGCCGGCGAAGAGAAAAATAATAGAACGGAACGAATAAAAGCATACAAAGATGCGCTAATAAAGAACCCTCAAGGGCAGCCCTCGTTGAGCAAAAATTTTAAGTCGGGGAATAACGCGCCGACTACGTTTCATCCCTTTGATAAAGCTTTAGAACAGTTGGACCAAATAGTTTCATCGAAAATGAGTATACCTGAAAAGTCGATGAATAAAAGGGATTCCGTAATCGTATCTGCGAATATCATACTTAAATCGCAAGATAGGGGTTGCATAAATAGCAAAGACTTACCTTCGAGTAAAAAGTCCACGTGCAATCAAAGTGAAGATCGATTTAAACGTATCGACGACGAATGTAATTACATAGGCAGTGTTATAAATTACGCACCAGTACCAGATAAGAAATGTTGCACAAAGAGCAATGTACGTTCTTATAATTTTGAAGAGACTGATTCCGCTAGATCAAATGCTAGTAAAAGCAAAGTTGCAAATGTTGATGTAGATTCTATAGCGTGTAGAACCAAGTATATCGCGCAAAAGAGTAGTAAAAGTGAAATGTCATTAGGAAATATTCCTGAAAGCGGTACAAAAGTACTTAGTAATACCAAAGTAGCAGCCAAACAAGAGAAAATTCCAAAGAGATCGCGCGAATTGATAAGTTCAGTTTCTTTGCCGAAAAAAATAAAAGTTGATTCGTCTATCGATGAAATGAAGAGAGCTATCCGAAAAAAGGAACAACTAAGAAGCAAGTGGCGATCTTGTTTCGGAAATTGTAGAAGTATTAGCGAAGATGAGCAAGAAGAAGATATCTTACAGAAGAGGTTCAAAAGAAGGCGGAAAAAGGACTCTGTTGACTCGTGTGATTCTGGACTGTGTATTGGCGAGGAAAATACAAATGGAGCTGCTCGTTGTGTAGAAATTCTGAAGGATATTCAAAGAGCTGTACCTGACTCGACGATACAAGACGAATGCAGTGAAGATATATCCAAGGAGATTTCTATAAAATTTAAAATAACCAACGAACCAAAAGTTAACAAGGATGAAAGTGTTGAAATTATTAATCAAGTTGAGGGCAATAAATCACAAACTAATACATGCGGAGCGGGCAGTGTTCAAACAGAGAAATTAATCAGTATTTCTGACGGAAGCGATACAATGAAAACCACAACTATAATCGATCTTACAGAAACGTCGCAACAAATTAGAAAATCGGAAATGGATATTTTTGCGGATTGCGGTACTCAAGATATTTCGGAAACTACAATCACGACGGATGTTACAGAAACGTTCCAAAAGACTGAAAGGCCAGAAGAAATTAATCCTGTAGTTAGAACAGGAACATGCTCTAACAAAATACCTTGTATTAACTTAGAAACATGCAATGCAGATTGCAATGCTCAAGTAGTTGTAAGCGATGATACTAAAACGTCCCAAGAAAATGATAACTTGCATACAAAAGTTTTGCATGCACTTATCGAAATGTTTTTAAATGAAAAATGTCTGATTACATCTAAAGGAAATGTTGTTAGCATTAAGGAAGATTGCATAAGAGATGAGAATCAAAACACTATTAAGGAAGATATAGATAAAAACTCGAATTTAAAAATATTGTCAGAAATAATATCGAATTGTAATAAGAATGACAAAGATAAAGAGGAAAAACCAAACAGCAGTCAAAAGAGTGATTGTATAAATTTAAAGAGTGCAATAGCATCTGTTGATGCAAAGACAGACGCTGTTTTAATAAATAATAATACGTGCAATGATGTAAACGAAACAGTATTACAGGAATCTGAACTAAACCATACTACAGAAGAGGCAAATACTCAGTCTAATACATTTCCTCAACCTAGATTAAGGGTATTATCTAGTGCAGAACTAGGTTCTAGATGGTGTCCCACGCCAATACATTCTGTCGTATCTACTGTTTCTAATCTTCTAGATACAAGTACAATAACAATATCAGATAGTTCTTTGAATTCTGCTGTTCCCGTATCTTTAGCTATTCCTCAGACGCAAACAATACCTGCAACATCTGTACCTGTATCTACAACAGCCTCTGTCGAAGCAACGCCTAGTAGTAGTAAACCAAAAATTAGTATAGAAACTCAAAGATTTCTACAAGGTACTTTGTACAATATATATGCAACAATCGAACGTATACGTGAATCTAACTACATTTTCAGTTTAGAGTACGATAAATTACTGTATTCCGAATTTGAAAAATTAAAGAATGCATTAGACAGTAATAGTTACGTAGCTCTTATTCATGGAGTTATAAACAAGCTTAACAAATCGATGTTTAAATTGCCACAATTGACTCTAAAGGAATTATTTACTTATGCACCATCGCTCACGCCCGAATACGCGAGAGACTTAAATTACGAGACTCAAATTGCAAGAGATAATTCTAACGAACGTCGAAACGCAACACCGATAGTGTTAAGTAAGACAACTTCAAATCAAAATATGTATCAGAATCCTCGAATGCTCCAAACACCACAAAATTCAAATCCTGTAACTTCTATGCAAAATCAATATTCTTTAAATTTAAATCAAACAACGAATCCCACTAATAATCCACTACTTAATCTACAACAATTGAATTATAGGATGCAAACACAAAGACCTGTTTTACAGTCTAGAGTTTTACCTACATATTTTAATAGGAAAAACCAAGCAACAAATGCCCATACGTCGCAGAACATTCCCTACCAACAAGTACCACAATCATCCATTGGTGCAAATCAACCAGGGAATCATATTTATGCGCCAGTGTCAAACACGTCCTATTTAAATCAACAATATGTTGCGCAAGTGTATGTACCACCGGTGAACAAATTTTACGCTGGAAACGCATCTGGACCAAATCATCTAATTCAAGGAAACAGCAATTCCGCACACACGATCCACCAACAAAATGTTAATTCAGCATACGCGGTCGGTAACCAAAATATTAATCAAGCACACACGATATATCCACAAAATATTAGTCAAGAAACAAATCTGACATTCACGAATCAGCAACAAAATATTAATCAAGAACACATGTCTCAGCAACAAAATATTCACCCGACACGAGCGACTCAGCAACAAAATATTCATCCAACACCAGCAACCCAGCAACAAAATATTCATCCAACACAAACGACTCAGCAACAAAATGTTCGCCCGACACCAGCGATCCAGCAACAAAATATTCGCTCGAGGCAAGCGATCCAGCAACAAAATAGTAATCAGATCCGTACGATCCAGCAACAAAGTACTAAACCTGTGGGTCAACAATTTCAGAAGACTGTTCATACGCAACCGGTTTTTAATACGATACGAGATTGTATTCAGTCACAAAATAGGCAACAATTAACTCAGGATACACAACAGAATATACCAGTGAGAAGTCACGTACCACAAACTGTAACAAGTGCATCTCAGTTTGTACCGAAATTTAAACAACAAAGTATACAGAAGTATAAAAAGCGACAAGCACCAAAGATTTCTCAAAACGTTACGTTGGAACAAAAGATGCCCCCTCCATATGGACAGAACATTCATTCCTCTAAAATAAAACGAAACATGATAGTTTCTAAAAATAAGAAAGAAAATATTACACAAATCTCGTCACGTTCAGTGCCCACACAATTTGATATATTGACATATTTTTCTGATATTCAAACAATTATGTTACTTGAACATATAAATTTCTATTTTGATTGTATTGCGCGTTACGATCAAGAATATACCCCGCAAACGTGGCAAGAAATTAATTTAGAAAGGTCATTGATAATTAATTTTCAAACAGCTTTGAAACACCATGTAGAGAAAACTATGAAAAACTATGAACAAAATGAATATCGAGCAAATGTGTCCGAAAATAATTTACTTACAAACGTTAGTACCGACGTTCCAAAGGAAATACAAATTACTGCACAAAAGAATGAAGAAGAATGTCAAGCTGTGAAATCTGATTCTAAACAAGAACAATCTAAAACAATGAATGTAGACCAATGTAATACAATACTTCAAGAGTATTTAAGTGTTACAGAAGAAGAGAAACAATCTCAAAAAGAACAAGAAGTAACTAATAATTTGCAAAATATGCAATTACCTGATCAGACACAACAATCAGACATATTAAATACAGAAGCAGTACAAACGAATGAACAAGATAAAGACATGGCTATCTTACAAGAAAATTTACTTGCATCAATTTTAGAAATGCAAACAACATCAAACTGCAACGAAAATCATAAAAGTGCAATAGATAAGGATTTAGGAAATTCCATAAAGGAACAGACAAGCGAAAATGTTCCTAGTGTGGCTCAAAAGGAAGTATCAGTAGCATCTGACTTAGAAGAATCTGCTAAAGATGTATCACAGCAGTTAAATTCACACTTAGTCACTGTAGAAATTTCTCCTAACAATGATCACGTAACGGTTGTTTATATCGATGCAGCTGATAATAATAAAGATACTGTAATAAAAACAGAGAATGAGGTACCTGAAGAGTGTACACAATATCCAGAAGAGTTAGAACTTTCTTCTAATAGCGTGTTACCACCTCTAAATGATACTAAATGTGAAATTTTAACAGAACTTTCACATAAAAGTTCAGACAATAATATTGAATATCCTACTGATACAGACACAAATAATTTTTTGATGGAAGAAAGTATTATATCGTGTATTGCGGATATTAGAAGTATTACGCTTGAAGCATTTGAGAAAATGGAAGAAGATAGCAATATACCCATTACAGAAGGAAATATTGAAGAAGAAGAAATTAAAATATGTTTAAGGTGCAGCAAACCCAGTACTGTAGTGTGTTTAAATTGTTTGGAAGCTAAATATTGCTGCAAAGAATGCGCGGAATTGCATTGGCAAGAACATTACAAACACTGTAAACCGGTAGAAAAAAGTATATACTTCTAATTGAGATTATCTTGTTAGTTCTGACGTCCTACATTCATTTCTTCAAATACGAAATATGACTCTGTTATGTTAAACAGTATTTATCGGTGCTGTTTTGAGTTAGAATTTAAGAATGTTAATATTTTCTTTTTTTATAGGACTGTTTTTATAAATTATTACCTTTTGTACAAATATTACAAACTATAGAAAACTTAAAATACTTATTGTAGTTAATGTTAAAAATAAATTCTACTCATTACCTTGTATTTACTTACCTAAATTCTTTGCATGTATCTGCAGACTATGATTACCAAGGTAAGCAGTCTGTTTTAATTTTTAGATCTTCAAACTGTATCAAAATATTTTACTCTGGTAGGAGGAATATTTATTCAATTTCTATAGAATACAAAATTGTAATGTATATAGAAGTTTTCTTAAGGAAATGAAACGAAATTTTATTACTTTTATTAATTCTTTTACTTGCGATACAATACAAGATAAATATATGTACATAATATTAGTTAATGTGAACTAGACATTAATAATTTTAGAGTTACTCTTCATAACCAACACCAGGTATATAATTCATTTTAGGGTTGTGGAAAAGTGAATGTTTACCATCCCCCCAAGGAAAAGGCTGCATCAAAATCAAAACAGTTTAAATTACGTCATAATTTCATATTAAATTTTAAAACCTCATACCTTGTTCATAACCTTCATGTATGGATATTCCTTATATTCAGGTCGGTGTAGCTGTCCTTTTTCTTCTTGTTTCTTAAGATAACAATTAACCATGGAAACTAGAATCGTAGGAAAGGCTACGAAGAAAGTTAGGTTCCTCCACATTTTTTCAGGACCTAAAATCGAAATTGTTCTTACATAACGTGTTACAGTAACCTTATGCAAAAACTTATACTTTGACAAATCTTAACGAAAGTTGTGTAAATAAGTATTGTATCGGTGACTTTATTTTTTATAAATAACAACATAACACGGTGATATTAGAAATGAAAAAGGAATACCGTGATAATACTTCCGACACAATTCTTCGTATTTATGAAATCTTTTCAATATAATTTAATATACCTTCTCCGGGGGAATGACTACGTTGCTCTACAGTTTGGACAATATCTGACATGCCTCGCTTCACCACATGGCCAAATTGGCCTATCTTTTGCACTTTAAACATTTTGCGATCAATTCAACTACTTCGTTCCTTCACTTTTATCGTTGATACGAGCTTAGCAATATCCCGTAATGTTTCGTGCATTCGCCACTGGAGGCTTACGAACAGTGTTCAATAAGTACAAGGGGAAAGTCACTAAGTTTAGTTTTATTTCCAACGCAACACACTTCTATTCGTCGCGAGGAAAAACACAGTCGCTGATCATTGTTTTACGATAATTAAAGTGCTAAATATGGGTGTTAATAGAAATATTAAATATATATTGTTGTATTTTGTTGCATACTTGTAAAAAAATAATAAGATTGGTGATTTTCCCCTCACGCGGCACGAATTCGTGTCGTCGGGTGGTTTACGTGTTTTCAAATAATGAAATTTTACGTTTAAATATTTCTGTACTAAGTCAGAGTTTGGTATGTAAGTTTTGCCGGCGAATTCAACAGGTTTCAGACAATACTAAAAATTATTTTGTTTTCATTACGAAAAGATACTTTCAGTTGTTACTTGCGTAACTTTCAACTAGTTGTTGCACTTTCCGGAAGATGTCGTTCCTATGCTCCTTTCCTAAGAGTTTAAACGTTATTTTTAGTCGATAATTAACCGATTATCTGTTGGTATGTAGAGCATTCAGAGGAAAATTTGAAAACTTCAATTTAGCTTTCGAGATAACTTGCAATGAATATGTCTTGAATTTAAGATATCAATGGTATCGAATGCTCGGAAGAATTGACAGTGTATTAAATCAATAAACAAAACTAAATTCTGAAGTTAGTTTTATACGTTTAATTGAATTTTTAGTGTTTGCAATAGAAGGAAAAATCGATTGGTCCCGTCTGTCCAGGAAGAAGCTACGAGTGTAAATCTGACCGAATCGCAGGTTAAATTTTGTAATCGTTCAGTAACTCTATTTTTTTAATGCAATGGATTTTGTCACAGTCCATACAAAATTTCACCGTGGTATATTGTTTTCTCTTAACGAAAGACAAATCGACTAGAAATATTGATTAAATTATTGAAATTTGTTTTATGTCGGTACGTTAGTTTTGTATTGGGAAAAATTTATAAAACGATAGGACTACCCTTGTGCGTCATCTGTGTAATGTTAGGTCACGTGATGATACATGCATCATTTTGATTTGTAATAATTCAAATCGTATACCGAACTCGATGATATTTGTTTCCGTTCCTCTTTCCAATTACATACGAAAATCAATTTACTGTAACAGTATGCATCATTATCACAGACAAAATAATATAATACTGCTGTGTCGTTTGTGTTCGAGTTTCCTTTGTTTTTTCTTAATCGTTTAAAGACAGTTCGGCTGGACGGTCTACAAAATTTCAAAATTATTAATGCACATTTATGGTATTTAACTGTCATTGGGTAATTAATAAAGTATCAATGCGTACATGTATGCAATCTCATTAAAGAGTCCATGATTATTGGAATTAGTCAATAGTAATTCCGTTATATGAACGAACTATGTAGATCTTAGATACATATGTGTACATTTGGCAATTGATTTTTGTAATAAATCATTTTATTGTCTATGTACTGATTCTAAATCACTGTAACATAATTAAATGACAATTTTAATGCGCATGAGAGAATTTATTGCGCATTTTCAAACATGTTTGAATGAAATAAAAGATTGTGGACAAAATAAATATGTATTTATTATCTATTACGAAGTTGGAGTATTACAATATTGAAAATACTATACAATTTTTTAGGTCGAATGGGTAATACTACTTCTAAAAATAATTATCAGAATAATCAGAAGTATACTAGTCAGGTATATATTAGTCAAAATTGTTATAACCTCTATAGCTTAAATAATATTATTAACCGAGTAAAGAAACAATATGTTTCTGTATATAAATTAATATGGTTCAGTAACTGTTGGTTTAATTTTTTTTTCAAATAGTATAGTCTTAGTGATATAATTGGTGGAAGTTGTGTTGGATCAACGCAGTCCACAAAGAAGGAATCTAAATCATGGTCTCGTGCTTCTCACAGAAGGTAGTTTTATTGGTCTTTTGAGTGCTACACATTTTGTGTGACATAAATACACTAACAAATCCAATATTTTTAGTTGGAGCGAAGATACATTGTATGATCCACTGGGTACTTCAAAAACATCATGGCCAGTATCGCGGTCCCAAACAATGTTTCTTCCAGAATTTCAAATAAGACAAGTACCTTTGCAAGCTTCTTATACCCTTTTAAATGTGATAGCCAAAGGTGCATATGGAAAAGTATACAGGATCAGAAAACAAGAAAATGGACAGTTATTTGCTTTAAAAGTAATTAGCAAAGCTAAAGTGGTTGCAGAAAATGGAGTAATTCAGGCCAAACAGGAGGTATGTATGCTGTCAAAATTAAGTAAATGTTCACTTAATTTAGGAGATAATACCAGTTTAAATCAATATGTAATACTAGGTTGCTATACAACAATTGGTTGGACACCATCCATTTATATTAAACTGCTGTCACAAGTGGCAAGGAAGGAAAACATTATATATTTGTAAGCTCACTGTTTGTACTTTATTAGTGGTTATTATTGAATATATTTTATAATACTTATTAATTTCAGTAACTGATTATGTTGGCGGTGGAGAGTTATTTTCTCTAATAGAACAGTGTGGCTGTTTACCAGAAAATGTAGTTAGAATATACGTAGCTGAAGTTGCTTTAGCCATTGGTAAGTATGGTTTGTTTTTAACTGGTAGTTGCGTGTATTTTACAATTTCTAATTTTTTACTGTTATTTCAGACTTTTTACACAATGCTGGCATAGTACACAGAGATATAAAAGCAACAAACGTTCTTCTGAATGAAGAGGGTCATGCTGTAATCATCGATTTTGGTCTTGCAAAGTGGTTAAATCATACGGAAAGGACAAATACACTTTGCGGAACACCCGAGTACATGGGTAAATATTAAAATATCCTTTAGGTATTGCTTACTTAAATAGCAGTAGTAATTACATGTATTCTTGTATATATATTGTTTCAGCGCCAGAAATACTGAAGAGGCAATACTATGGACAGGAGGTGGATTGGTGGTCATTGGGGGTTCTAGCTTGTTTTATGCTTACAAATCAGGTATGTAATAACTATTTTTTAAATACTATGATATATAATGATTGAAATTACCGTTTGAAACTAAAATTGCTAAATACACGTAGTATCAAGTATTGAATAAGATATATAAATTTAAGTTTAATTAATTTAAATCGATAATTACTAGAACGTTATATGTATTTTACTAGTTCGAGATATGTATGTTTGTTGGTTCTAAGCAATTTCAAGTAAGTTTGGGATAACCGACTCCGTGGCGCAACGGTAGCGCGTCTGACTCCAGATCAGAAGGTTGCGTGTTCAAATCACGTCGGGGTCATATATTTTTTTTTTCAATTTTTCGTTTTTTTTTTGTTGTATTTCATGTCACAAAATGGATTACACTCACGAATGAATAATTATAAAAAAATTATATTTCATATATATGTTATTATTCAATATAGTTGGCACACTTTTAACATATATAATAGATTTTTTAACATTAACGCAGCGTTAGTATCATTTTTAAGCAACCGTTTGTAAATTTAAAAAATTTATTTATAATATTACACAAATAGTTTAGCGTATTATCTCCATAATTATCACGCTTTTCTTATTTCAATAATATTTAAATAAATCAAAGTACTGTAGATATTATGAAATTTCTTTTTAGTTTTAAATGATAAAAATAAAAAGTTAATTTTTTAAAGTACAAAAAAGAACCGCCCCCGGGTGGGCTCGAACCACCAACCTTTCGGTTAACAGCCGAACGCGCTAGCCGATTGCGCCACGGAGGCAGTTGACTGTCGCGTCTCTTTGTACTCATTTATGGCGTGCTCATAAGTTCTGGGAACATCCGTATTAAACGTATTAATATTTCACGTAAGCACTATTTAAATATTACGTGTACAAACTGTTTCTAATGCTCTACGCTCGTAAATGATATCTCAATTAAAATTTAAAATACAGTTCGTGCGAGCTTCGAGCATTAATTGAGCCTGCATTATTTTAGTAGGTCGATAATTCTCTGATATTTCTTGTTTAAACGGTACTTCTTCTCAGAGCATCGAATAATTTATTTCCTCAAAAATATTTGGATCGCAGGGGATTAATACAAACAGATAAAGTACCTGGTAAATATTCTCTCAACGAGATACATGGTTCGTCGAAGGTAATACTTTGAAATATATTTCAATAAAAACATTTTTAATCCATAATAAAAAAAATTCCCCCCCAAGTCGAATCGTATTTTTAACCGTTCTAGTTACGTGTAAGATCTCGAGTCAAATCGACTGCCTGTTCCTCGATCGCGGCGTGTCGATTATTTCCCCGCGAACTCTCGGCGCATTTTGTTGGTCGATCTTGCGTAAAACTATGCGGGAACTCGAATCGAAGAAACCAACGTATCCCGTTCTGTTGCAAAATCCAGTTGCGCCTTGACATTTCGCCGGGTCCACTCACCTCGCGTATCCTCACTGTTTACAAACCGTGCCCGACGCGCGCGCGCCAGCTTTTCATTCGCCCTTTGACGAATCGATGCACTTCGATGCATCACGGAGAAATGTCGTCGTCGTGCGGCCTGAAAGATTGTTCGCTAGGCGTGACGACCAATCACGCGAATCTACGAGTCTTGTGCAAGTGCATTCACCGCGGGCACGGTTATTCGTCCTCCTCGAATCGTGGGACAAAGACCACCGATCCTCGAGGAGGAGCTGTTCGAATACTTTATAGGTTTGAAATGCCTCGGTTTATGATGCGACTCCTTCGCTATTTTTTTAGATCGAGCAGTTTATATACAACTTTCACATTCGCGGGGCATTCGCGAGCAGGACGAAAAAATTTTCTGGAACGGTAAAAGTCAAATAAGTTTCTTCAATACGAGGTTTAAGGACGAAACGATGAACCGTCTGTTGCGTAACGTGATCGGAAACTTAATAAAAAATAGTTTCTTAAATTCCTTATCAGCCGCGTTTGTGGATAAAATATTCTTCCGATATCACTTGAATCCGTTTGTTATTTTAATTGTGCACTGGTCGATTATACTGGCTAGTCTTTGCACGCGAACGCTACTTCTTGACTCATTTGTTAGCGTATTGTAACGCTAGAGTGTCATTGTTTTCGCGACGGTAGGTAATGTTGCTATTACATTCACGACGCTCGTCACGGCGGCCGTAATTGATGCTATCTAGTGAATTGGAATGTGTATGGAATCGACGCCAACATCATGTCGAGTTCCATTTCAACTGTTCGTTTGTCGTCGTAATCGAGAGAACTTCGACGAGATCGACGGTTTGCAATTTTCTCGCGTCGCAATTCTTGTACATTTATTCCTCCATAATCGAATACGACGCGAGTTTATCTTCGTTCGGAATCGTCGGATGCTGCTTATCAGCGTAGTTTTTATTCCATCGCGATATCGCGTTGCAAATAGAATTCGAATATCACGTATTCGAATACTGTGTTATGAGTAAAGAAGTTTCTGCACGAGATGGATATAAATATACTTTTACGAGTTTAAACTTCTTCCAAGAAGTTCGTAGAAAATGGAGGATCGTCGATCAAAGAACACCCGAACAGGACTAATGAGAGATATGCTTGCGAGTACAAAATGGTAGTTGCAAGACAAGCGTAGGGAATGTTGGTGACACGATTAAACATCGGCTGGCTTGACAGTAATAATAATAATTATTATTATAACGATGATAGCAATAATACAAATAATAATATTAATAATAATAGCGGTACTGGTACTAAATCGTAATAATAATAATAATATTAATAATAATAATGACACGTATCTCTAAAAAAAAAAGACAGAGTCGAGGCTACACACTAGTTTATTGGGATGAGGTTGTGGTTGTGGTCGTGTGTGGTTTTGACAAAAAAAAAAAAACACAAAAAGAAAGGGAAGAGACGGAGGGGGTGGGGGATTTGGAATGTGGATAACTCTAATCAGGGGCCGCGTCCGTCCCCGCGGACAAATCGCCAGTGTCCGCCGGGACGAAGTTGAGGATGACTCGTGCGACGCGCGGCCATGCTGGAATCATTGACGAGCATATACATTCTGTCGTCGTTTCCATGATCTTCCGCCGACGGTTCGCTCTTGACCAGGCATCACACGGTCATCCTGCCCCGCCGAATCGATGAACGTTTTTTTCGTCGGACTCGTGGCGCGCCGGGGAAGTATCGGGACCCTGCCACAATTGATCGTACAATCTCTCTCTCCCATTCACACCGATTGCTTTCACTCCGTAAATCCTCTTTCTCTCCTGCTGCTGTTGACACTTCCTGACGTGCACGCGCTCTGTCGTCTCTCTCTCTCTCTCTCTCTCTCTCTTTCTCACTCTCTTTCTCTCTCAATCTATCGCGCCTCTATCCGTGGGAAGAACTCGCGCCCATCCCTGTGCTCTGGTGCGGTCGACGCGGTCGGTCTCTGCGTCGCGAGCCCTCGGTCTGGTCGATGTTTTGCTGCTGCTGTTTTGGCTACCGTTGCTCGTCTTCCCGCTTCGTCTCGCGCGCGACCGTCGTTGTAGGTGGACCTAACCCTGATTAAATAAATACGTTAGCTCCTGGGGCTTGGGCAGCAGCTCCGGCTTTGCCTCGGCGGGTTTGGACTCCTTCTCCTCGGATGACTTGTCCTCGCTGCTCTTTGACTCTTCGCTGCTCTTTGACTCCTCGCTGCTGTTCGCCTCCTTCTTCTTCTTGGCGAGCTTCTCCTCCGATGAATCGTCGGAACCTTCCTTCGCCTCCTTCGCCGCGGCGTCCAGCTTAATGGGCTCCTCTTTCTTCTCCTCGATGGGGTCAGCCTTCGCCTGGGGCTCGGGGTTGTCCAGCTTGGCCGGGCTCGACTCTGCGGGTTTCGCCTGCGGCGACGATGACTCTGGCTGAGCGGCACCCTCGGCGCTCTTGGCTTCCTTGACGGGCAGGGCGGCCGGCTCGGGCTTCTCCTCGCGCTTGGCGGCCTCCTCGGGGTTCACGGCTGGCTGTTCAAGGGTGGGCTCGTTCTTCTCGCTGGCCAGGGCAGGTTTCATCTCCTCGGCTGGCTTGGGCTGTTCCGGCTGGCTCTTCTCGGCCTCCGCGGCTCTGACGGTTTGTTCAGCAGGTTGGTCGAGCTGCTTCTTGGCCGCTGGGGCTGCCTCCTCGGCGTCACGAGTCACGCGGTCAGGTTTCTCTTCGGCTTTCTTCTCTTCCTCTTGCGGCTTGTCCGCCTTCTTCTCTTCGGCAGCTGGCTGAGCCTTCTCCTCCGAGGATTCCGACGCGGCGGGGGCTGGTTCGTCCTCCTTCCTCACGCTGGGCTTCGCTTCCTCGGCTTTCTTCTCTTCCTTGGGCTCCTCTTTGCTAGCCTCCGCGCTCTTCTCGCCGGAGTCGACCTGCTCGGAGCTCTTACCTTCTATGGCCACCGGTTTCTGAAACACCAGGAACGTTTCGTTGGTACCTATACTAGTTCGCCTCCCCTGGGGACTCGTTGTACTTACGGGTTCCTCGACTGGTAGCGCAGCAGGTTCCGATTTAGCTTCCTGGGGTGCAGCTTGCACCGTCTCGTGGGACTCTGAAGCTGCTGGTTTCAGGCTCTCCTCCTCCTTCTTGGCGTCCAGAGGCTGTTCGGGCTTCTGCTCCGGCGCCGGCTGAGACTCCTGCGGCTGTTGCTCGGCCAGTTTCTCCTGAGGATTCTCCTCCTTCTTCTCCTCGGGCTTCGCCTGCGGGAGCTCCTCCTTTTTCTCCTCGGGCTTCTCGGACAGTTGGAAGTTCTCCGGAAGAGGCTCGCTCCTCACGCTAGGCTTCTCAGCTGGCACGCCCGGTTTGGACTCCGCCGATGCTGGCGCTGACCCTGCTTGCTCCTGGCTGGGCGCCGGAACGTCCGCCAAATCGGCCGAGGCGAGCTTCACGGAGCTCGTCGCCTTCTCCAGAGGCACCACCTGAAGTGATTCCTGGTTCTCCGCCACTGGCATGGCAAACGACGCCCCCAGCAGGCACATCATCATTGTCACTATTAGCTTCATCTCGATTTCTGCGACAAAAAGATCAAACGAAACCGTTAGGCTAGATGCACGATTCTATTCATCTTATACAAAATCAAGAAACCGAGTGGATCTTCAGGAAGTAGAACAAGGAACGTCGATAGCAAGCCAATGATTTTCATCTCAAATGTAAACAACTGGACGAATTGGGAAGAATCGTCACTTGAAAACGTACACGGATTCAAATCGAGGAACCGAGGGAATCTTCAGGAAGCAGAAGTATAGTACAAATTCTAGAGACAGCGATTTTCATCTCAAACGAGAACGATTGGGTTACTCGAATCCGTTGTAAGAGTCGTCACTCGTAAGCGGGCACACGTAAGTGGAATTGGACGCGGATTGGAATCGAAGGGTCGAGCAAAGGTTTCGACGAAGATACAAAGAGGGAGAGGAAACGAGCCAGTGGACGTTCCTCGCAATCTTCCAGTTAAGAGAACTCACTTGGCATGAATGGAGAACACGGTCGTATGAATGAGTCGCGAGACGAAAACGCCACGCTGCCCGCCAGAAAGAGACACGGGAATGGGTGGGGGAGGGATAGACAAGGGGCTGCTGAGAAGATCCGGCAGGAAGGAGAGGGACAGGTGACATTGAACCGAATGCATTGAATAAGGCGAGCGTCATGGAACTAATGACAGGATGCGCGCCCCTCGCGCTCGTTACACGCGCGTTCGCGCGACTTCTCTGCGCGCGCCCGTCGTCTTTCTTCCTTCAACGCTCGTCTCTCGCTTCTGTTCGTTGCGTGTTCGCGCGGAAGACGAGCGATCAATTAAGCGGACACGCGTCCCGCGCTCGCGTACTCGTCGCCGGATGTTGGGGGTATCTCGAGAGATCCTCGAATATCATTCGAATCGTTGTTTACGAGGCTGTCGAGAGATATCCGCGTGAAACGAAATTGGGCCACGATTTACGCAATTTTTGTAGCTTGTCACCTTTGTAACTGGTGAAAAATCACGCGATCAAAACGATTACTTTGACGCTGATCCACGACTCGGATAAGATTCCACGAACGGAAGCGCGAACATTACGCGCAAACTGCGTTGCGTGATCCGCGAACAGAAAGTGGAAACGTGGGTGGGACTTCCGGAACGCGTGCAAACGGAAAGAGAGAGGACATTGTTCGGTTCGTTGCGATCGAGACCAGAGGATTCTGCCTCCAACGAACCAGCGACCGATCGAAAGTCGAATCATCCCGAGGTCGATCATAAAATGCCTTTCGCGGGAACAATATTCATCGTGGAGTTTCGTTCCCAAGAATTAAGGTTCTCTCGTTTCTCGTTAATCGTGAAAACGTTAGATTCTCGAGTGTGAAACTCCTCGATGGACATCGAGCGTGGTGCAACCTGCCCAGTAGGGAATCTTGCGTCTTGCTGGAAAATTTCGCTCTCGAGGATATTCGCGTGAAAGAACTATCAACGATAAAAATTTACACTTTAATAGGAATATTAAAATTCATAGTAAAGTAGTGGTACCCGTACCAAGTATTGTTTCATACGAGACGACTAAAATTTTATTTTAACTCAGTTATCAAGTTATCGACTAAAAATCCAAATGAACAGCAATAGTTTTCACGAATGAAATTTTGCCCAGTCTCCGATGGCGCTAGCGCTCGCTCGACGTAAATCGATTCTGCTGCGTAAATCGGTATCGTCGATTCTGCCACGCGTCGAAGCCTCCGTTGCCAGCAAGCATCGTTGAAACTCAGCTAGTGAAACCGGAGACAATCGACGACCATACGATACCGCGTCGGTTGTACATTACTCGCGGACGTTAGCGAGCGAAACGCAGAACGCTGACGAAATCCGGTCGCGCGAGTCAGACCAGCTCGTAGCTGGGATAAAAACCGACTCCAATAGCATTCTTTCGAGTTCGCGCTACCGTTGAACGACCTTCCGCTCGGAGGCGCGAGTCGCGGCCAATCGAGCGAGTAATTTATACCGAGAGGAAACCGTTCTCGAGCGTAGGTATAGTCGGTGGAACAAATATAGCGATCTATTCAAAGTCAGTTTCGAGAGATCTGTTAAGAGATACCCTTGTTAGGTACAAACCGTTGAATAGCTTTTTCCCCCCTGGGCGACTCACTTTCGTTTCTATGTTCTACGTTCTACGAGGTATCATACGACGAGAAATTACGACGATCTGGTCGAGTCGGTTTCGGAGCTCTCGACGCTTTAACGGTGGATGACGTACCACTAATTCGTTTTAATACCATAATTAGAGGCCGTTGACACCGGTACCGGGTCTTTTCGCGTATCGAAGTTAGGAAAGTAGCGAGTGATACGATTTGCCGGGTACGAAGATTCCTTGAGATTCGATCTTGCCACCCTGAGCGAGTCAAGGACGCTAGACGACAGTTTTTACGAGATTGGTTCACGTTGGTTAGTTGCAGTGAATTATACTGAGAATCGCGAGCGTCTTCGGACCTTATTCGTACATCGGTTGCCGAAAAGTTGCGCAAACGGGAGGCGACGAAACGTGTTTCTGTTGTCCCAGAAGACACGCCTTCTGGAGAACGCGACCGAGGCGGAATGCGCGCCGAGAGGGAGAGCGCGTCGCCCGGAGAGGGAAAACTGCAAGAACGGAGAATAAAGACGGAAAAACTGGCCGACAGAGAGTGATCGAGGGAGGCAGGAGGCAACGATCCAGTTTTTACCGCGGCTACGCGCGTTTGGCAACGCGACTCTTAGCTTAGCTGCGGTTGCACTTGAGGTTGCGAGAAACCGTTCGGGGGACTTTGTCGCGGTATGATCGAATCGCGAACCGATTATGAAAGCATACCAGCGTCTGGACTATCGTTTTTGTGGAAATTTATACCCCCTGGCCGGCTCGAACTGCGACGGGACATGCCCGAACAGCTTTAGAAAGTACGATGTTTACCTCTCGGGTCGTTTGATCCTTGAAATACGCGGGGGCTCCGAGGGAATCGAAACCTGGGCCACTTACCTCCAGTTTATTAGTAATAAATTTATTTGTATCTATATCGACTGTATTTGTCCGATAAGGCACATCTGATAGGCCTGTAGATCAAAGAACGAGTTACTTGATTAGGGTAGTCTCTGATCCCGATCAGCGTTTCCAAGTGTCCATGAATTAACGCTTTAGTTTTCTTGAGAAAATAGGTATACAGTAGTGATTCGTAAGTTGAACATTCCTATCCCTCCCCTAACTGGAGGAACGCCTGTCAACCCCGAAGTGATGTTCATCTTACGAATCATTGCTGTATCCAATGGGGGATTTTTTCTTTAAAGTTTCACTCAATTTAAAAAATAAAGATCGAATGCAGTCGGTGAAGGGGACGATAATAACGCTAATAAAATTAAAATGGTCGTTAATATACAAATTAAAAACAAAAAAATATTCAATTGGAAATAGTTCAAGCGTAGACGGATGATATCGCGATATTGAGTCTAACATTTTTGCTGCATCACGAAATAGGCATATCCGGTGATATTTCCGGTAAGGAGCACGTATTCGAGATACGGTTTTTAGAATTTAATGGTCCAATATATTACCCCGATGCCTCAAGGGGTTAAGGAACGAGTGTGCATTACCAAGTCGCATGATCGGCTTTAATAACGAGCGTCCAGGCTCGATCGTATTGCGAGCGGACGTAATGGGCCGCAATAGAGTTAATTGCAAAGTGCTCGTCGAGCGAACCGGTCGCGCAGTCGACGCTCGTACCGTCTAATTCGAACGGTTTAGGCTATTCCCGTTTAACGGTATCGTTTTCGGTGGCCGGTATGAAAAACAATGCCCACGAGAACGCGCGCGAACCGCAGCGCAAACACGACGAGGTCGACGGGGGGAGGATGCGCCTGTGAAAGATGATGGACACCCATTACCTTATCAAGATCATCAGAGATGTAATAGTGGTACCACGCTTACAAAGAAGACGCGGCCCATCAAGTGGTTCACCGCTTCACAATGCTTTCTGCCCTTCTCTCTTTCTCTCTGCCTACGTTACGCGCGCACCGAGACCTATTGTCGTCCTCTATCCTTTTCGAAGTGCGCGATTGTCGATCTAATCTGCGTATATTGAATCAATTGGACGGAGAATGCGACGCAGTTGACGCGAACGCGCTGGAATGCCCCGTCGGTCTAATCACTTTTCAGGGATCGTCGTCAGCATTCTACGGTTCACTGTTACCGAAAACTAGAATAAAATGCTCGTCAGCGCTCGACCATTTTGCTGTTTTCTACGATCGACTCGAAAATAACCCCGAAACGATTGCGGAAAATTTTCATTTCGCGAAGATTGAACAAGATAGTTGCTTTCTGTACCTGAGAAATTGGAGGAGACCCGGGTCGGTTGGTTCGCGCCTCGTGTGTCGCAGCCTCGCGGATTAAGCGGATTAGCGACGGGTTAATTAACCGTGAGGAAACGCTCGACGACGGAGAACCGACGGGGGAGAGAAAAAGAGTCGCGGAAGGAGGACGAGAATTACGCAAACGCGGGGTCGCTTGTGAAATCCGCGCAAATTATATGTTCCGACGATTATCCCATTTGCGCGCCGTTTTCTCCCCCGGGGAGAGGAGGAGGGGAAGCGTTTAATCGTCGCGATTTCGAAGACGGCCGTTTCGTCGGGACGCAACACCGGCGTTATTGCGAGCGTCCCTCGGCTTGCGAAACGAAAAAACGCCGACTCCGAAAGAGTCGCGATAAACATTTCAGAACTAGATCGAAGGAAATAGTTAATCGTAATATCAGTGTTGGTACTCACGTCTTTTTCTCTCCTCCGGTTGCAACCGAGATCTGATCGTGGCGGTCGCTGGTCGTCGGCTGCGTTGACGCGTTCCTCTCTTCCTGCTGTTGCTTCTAGCGTCGATACTCTCTCTCTCAGTCACCGATTAAACCGTCGGAACCGTCGAACAAGCGTACTCGAAAAAAACTCGGTTGAGGGGGGTTAGGAAGTAAACGGACAGGACAAACGAGAGTCGAACAGACGCACGAGATCCTCTCTTTTTGTACGCGCGCGTGCGATTACGCTCGTTTGCGATGGGAACCGTTCGTTGGCGTACGGGATGAAGGTTGGGTCGTGTGTCGAGATGGAATCGTCCGGGGCCCGCTTATATACCCATTTACCCACCAGCGCTGACTGGATACGCTTGCACAGGGGGCCCCGACCCTCTTCGCCCGTCAACGCCAGGGGCCCCTCTTTTACTCGTCTCGTTTCGTCTCTGTTCGATCCCCATTCCGCCTGCTAGCTCCGTCCTCCTGCCCTCCTCCCGCCCGCCGCTCGCCTGGCTTCCCTGCGTTCGCTTTTCCTTCTTCCTCCGCCGATCGCCGGGCTGTCGGCCGTGCGTGTCCGCCGATTCCTCTCTGCGCGGCCCACGCCAGGAGCAAAACGAACCCGGGGGGCCTCCGTCGATCCTCCGACGATTTTCAAACATCGAACACGAAGAGCAACGCGTGCCCCACGGGGCGACGATGTCACGGTTTTGCGGCTGGTTAGGGTACAATCAGTGTTCCACGTCGACTTCTGGACCGTCCGACTCGTCGAATACGATGTTCACCACGATCTCTCAGTGATGGATCCGTTAGGGCTCGCGAGGCCGCATAGAAGTTCGCGGTTTCAGGAGTTTGTTGGTGGTGTGGCCGTAGCAGTGAGAAACGTTTGCACAGTGAAGGTTCGATCTTTGGCGGTACACGATTCCTCTTCGCGAGATCGTACGAAGTATCAATCGATGCGTTTGTTATCAGTACGACCTTCTCCCATCTATCGACTTCTTCGTATCTTCACGAAATTCCGGAGGTTCTCGATTTTAAAAACTCTCGGTTTATTCTGATCTTACACGGTAGCGATCGTTGAAATTTTAGGTGAAAAACGCAGTGATCGAAATAGGTGGCAATCGGCTGGTGCAAGGTCCCGGAGAGCGCGGTGGGTGTGGTACGAGTTTACAATTAACTGTTGTTCTTGCTGTGCACACTCGTTTTTAAATTTCCTTTCAGAGAAAGCATTCTTTAGCATCAAACACTGAGTGTCAGATTTCATGTTTAAAATTATCTTTAGCAGTACGCGTTGAATTCGATCGATGTATTTGATGTAATCGTCAATATGAAAGGTTTCGATAAAAATAAAATAAGGGATGAGATTACTCATAGGATGGTTCAACATTGTTGCATATAAAATCAGATTTTGTATTATTATTGTATTATTATTTGGTCCAGTTAATCGTCCAATTTTTCACGATTTACGGATATCACTCTTCAGCAAGTTGGTCTTGGTCGGTATTAAAGTTCCCAGTGGGCGATTTGTCAGCGAAGGATCGGTTGTTAAGGTTCAGGAAGCCGCTAGAAATGCCTGCGGTGCCAGGCATGGAGGAGTTTGTTGATGGGAGCTTCTGTGCGTGGGCGATACGCGTTAACTCGTCTGTTGTGAGAAACGTTCGCACAGCGAAGGTTGTATCCTCGGTACGATTACTCGTAGTTGAAAGTTTCGATCGAGATCTTTCTGGCTTCTTCTTTGTTTCGTTCTTGGAACATATCTCGAAGCGTTCAATGTATCGAAAGCATCGAATGGCGGGAACGCGAAGTCGTTTGTCGATAGCTTTCGATGAAAAGTACTCGGTGACGATGTTCTAAAAGCACTCCGTTCGGCATGATTCAGTATCGACCGGAAGCCGGTGGCGCGGTGCAAACTCGATGAACGCGAAGAGGACCTTGATGTTTGATCGCGATGAGAGAGTTAAAAATATTGAGACGCGTTGATTGAATCGTGGAGCAGCGATCTTTTGGCATAGATCGTGTTTTACGAGGGTCGTTTGACGAGTAGAAAATCCACCATAATAATTTTAAAGGTAAATAAATCTTGTCTCTTCGCTCATCGAACGACCGTACAGAGTGATTCGTGAATCGATCGTGATATTTGAGTCGATAGGTTAACAAAGAAACGAGTTTATTGCAATACAAAAGACCTTTAAAAGTATCCTTCTTTAACTATGTATTTATTTTATAAAAAAAACCTCGTTTCGGTAATACAGTATGAATTATCTGATAAAGGCAGTATTTTTTTCGTAATACGGTCGGATCATGATCGTCGCGACCGTCGTTGTCCGCACGACTCTGATAGAATTATCCTATTCGTTACGTAAAGTGATTCTTCTTATTGTGTTGTCTTTGTGGGAGGAATTATCGTTGATGTGACCTCTTAACGCTTAAGGGCAGACACCGGCGTTGCTTCGACCAGCGAAATTTCTTACGACAGGAGTCACGTGTATCTTTCTCTCGTTCGCCAGCAAGGATACTCGCCTCAACGAGCGCAAACGAATCGTCCCGCACGTGTTCAACATACTCGAGCGTACGAAAGACGCGACTTTCCTGGAGCTAGTTCGCTCGCGACGGATATACGTGGAATTTGTAACAGACCTTAACTAATTCTAATTTCATTGCGACGACGTTTGGATTGGCAGACTCCGTTAAAAACGACTAATCAGTCGTAACAGAGAGAACACCTCCGAGAATCGCGTGACGGTCGTTCCGTGTCAAATCTACAAACTACGCGCTTCAATTTTCTACTATGTCGATGTTTTCCACTGTCATCGGAGGATTTCGCAATGTTTTACCGTTAGGTCGGTAATAAAATGCAATTTACAAATACTTTTGAATATTGGCTTTGAACGATCAAACAAGCGTCAATGTTGTAATAGTCAAACTCGTGAAAATTTCCATTTTAAGGGCTGACAGGAAAAAATAATATTTTACTGTTCGATCGGTGATAAAATACAGTTTAAAAATGCTCTTGAATATTCGTTCCAAACGACGTCAAACAAGCATCAATGTTACGATAGTTAAACTCGTGAAAATTTCCATTTAAGGGCTGACAGGAAAAAATAATATTTTACTGTTCGATCGGTGATAAAATGCAATTTAAAAATGCTTTTGAATATTCATTTCAAACGATGTCAAAGATGGGTAGGGTTCGAAAAAATAAAAATGAAATTGTCAACTTCAAATTATATCTTTGACGACATTTACAGTGTGCTTTTTCAATCGATGCGAGCAAATCACTTTGATTCCATCATCGATCGAATAGTCTCGTTAGTAAGGAGCTCCGTTAAGGTCAGCCGTCAAGTAACCAGTACTTAAGAAGTCAATAGAAGGCGTATTTTAATAAACCTTTGAACTTCTGATTAGTTTGAATGTTATTAAATCATCCCACATTGAAACAGAGCCTAGGTTACGGGTTTCTCAACGTTTTACGGACAGATTTTGAAGAAGGTGCGAAGTTTTCAATTGGTAGGACGACATTGGTGACCCATATTCTACTAATTGAGTCGAACATCTTGACTCGAGACTGTACATCGTTTCCACGTACCGATTCGTTAGATGATACGTGATAATATCGACGTGTAAACTCTCCGATCAGTCGCATCGAAGAGTCCACAGAAAAACTAGGACGCCGATCTTTTGAGAATTATTTTTTTAAGAAAATAAAAACACGTTACTCGATCGATGGTCGATACTTTTCGCGCGTTTTGGTAACTGTTGTAGAAATCGAAATACAAGGATGTAAAAGTTAACTGTTCCTGTCTTAACCTTGCTCGTAAGTAACACAGAAACACGCGGGGCCAAGCGTACGCCTCTTCCCGGAGTCAAAGATCGTAGAAGAACGTCCGAGCAGGATCGGTGCTAATCGTTATCGGATTAACGTCGACGGTAAATCGTTTTCGTAATGTCCGAGCCGCTCGTGACTCACCTGGAGCCTCTTTTCTCCTCGTCTTGGACGCGTGTCGCGGTTCGAGCGTACGCGCGCGTACGTGATTATGTAAATCAATGTTTTCCAAATGTTCTCCGTCTCGAAAATTCAATTGGAACGAGAGATCTCCGAAGAAACTATTTCCTTTCTTTTTTAAAAGCTTCCAAAAAGTTTGGAAACCGTTCAGAAACAGTGTATCGTGTGAATTTAATATTATTTCCAAAAGATTGTGAACGAATCTCGTCTCGAGTATTTATATTCGCGAATAAAATTTGTCCGCGACGATCTATGCGATTTTCCATCGCGGATCGATTCGATCCACGAACCCCGCTGTACGCTGGGCCAACGGAACGACGCGACGCGACGCTTCTCGACAGTCGGACCGGTTCTCTTCAGGGCGAAGGTGCTCGCCTGATGTGAGGTCGTCGATACCAGACGGTGTTCAGATCTTTTGAGACTTTTGCTGGCCCTACACGCGTGGCACGTTCGAGCTGGAATTCTCAAACAGAGTCTATCAGATTCAGATTTAATTCTTCTTAGTAGCAGCAATCAATTATCATTTTGACATTTACGATCGTTTTTATATTTTAGGTAGAGGGGCCTCTTTCGAAACGAAATAATGGAAGAATATTCCCCTTCTATACTGTCCCAGTATATTTACGTATCAAGGTTCGAAAGTTCTCAGCCTAATCATAGGAAGGCTGCTTACAGCAGTGTTTCTCAACTTCCATCTACTCGTGGCCCCCTTAGCGTTCATTTAATACATTTAAAAAAGTTTATTCTACTTGACCCAGGTACATCGTCCTCCAGAAGTCCTCGTTAATTTCATCCGGCCTCAGAGTTCGTCGAGGACGCGTGTCGTCAATGATTTATCGCCGTGGCTACCATTTCGGTCAAGATTTACTCAAAGAAATTCTATCCGGCGCCACTGAAGCGTGTCTATTCTCAAATCCTTGTGGTTTTTTCGTAAATTCATCGAGCGTCAATTTAGCAACTCGCTCGTTATTTTGTGATATTCTGCGAGGATCAAGTCCCCTAATGTTTAACTCTTTAATTCTTGCGTTATTCGTTCTCCGAACGTTTTGAGAAACGACGGTCTTCCATCAGGGAAACGTGCAACGTCGTCTTCTTGGCGTTGCATCGTTCGTAGCGTCGTGAAATCCACGCTCTTCCTGGATCCTCGTGGCAGTTGCCGAGGAAACGACTACTTTACAACCTGCGATTCCCAACCGTTACGTACCGTTAGGAGGTCGATCGTCTATGTCGCTCCTGGCGAAAAATAAGGTTTTTACCTGCAACGAGAAGCACCTGAAACGGTCCCGTAATTGTTGAGATCTCGGGCTTAAAATAGACACG